GATGGATGGATGATGGATGGATGGATGGATGGATGATGGATGGATGGATGGATGGATGGATGGATGATGGATGGATGGATGATGGATGGATGGATGATGGATGGATGATGGATGGATGGATGGATGATGGATGGATGGATGGATGATGGATGGATGATGGATGGATGGATGAATGATGGATGGATGGATGGATCCGATGGATGGATGGATGGATGATGGATGGATGGAAGAATGGATGGATGGATGGATGATGGATGGATGGATGGATGGATGGATGATGGATGGATGGATGGATGGATGGATGGATGGATGGATGGATGGATGATGGATGGATGGATGGATGGATGGATGATGGATGGATGGATGATGGATGGATGGATGGATGGATGGATGGATGATGGATGGATGGATGGATGGATGGATGATGGATGGATGGATGGATGGATGGATGGATGGATGATGGATGGATGGATGGATGGATGGATGATGGATGGATGGATGGATGGATGATGGATGGATGGATGATGGATGGATGGATGGATGGATGATGGATGGATGGATGGATGGATGATGGATGGATGGATGGATGATGGATGGATGGATGGATGGATGGATGATGGATGGATGGATGGATGGATGATGGATGGATGGATGATGGATGGATGGATGGATGGATGATGGATGGATGGATGGATGGATGATGGATGGATGGATGGATGGATGGGCAGAGCTGTCCAGAGGTTATTAGAGAGCAAACAGCGTCATGCAGACGGTTCAGGGAGAAAGCTTTAGAGATATTTAGACAAACCCCTGAAAATGACAACATGCTGAAAATTATAAGACCTTCCAGCTTGAAAATGAGTACGAGTATAAAACCAGAGCTATACTGGATAGGTTTACATCAGAGCCCCAAAAATATCTAGAATAACAACAATTCCTAGTTATTTATATCGTCAACATCAAATATTGAATTGGATCTATTCTTGCAGCTTTATTCCAAAACGTCCTCCTTTTAATTTTTGTTTTGTGCATTTATTAACCCGTCTCAAATCACAACCCGAATCATATAATTCAAAGAATCTTTGCAGACCGTCAGGAACGTTTACTTTAACTTTATATATTTGCATTTTTTTATGAAAAACTCCTTAAATTTCATAATATAAGATTCTATAAACAGTGGATTAGCATTTTCATTTAAATGTATTCATTTATTGTTAATTTGGATGTACAGCCCACACACTCGTACGCAGAGTGAACAGTAAATGGGATTTAAGCTACATCATTTACATTTTATCCATATTTACACTAGCAGGCAAAATAAAATATGTTTCCTTGTTCTTGCCACCTTGAGGAACAAGAACAAATTTCAATTTTTTTTTGCTGAGTTTGCAACGAGATTTAAAACAATCGGCGTTGCTTAAGAACGAAAAGTGGCGCCCTCTTCTGGATGCCAACAACATGACAAAGCTGAAGGATTGTCTGTTGAAGCCCAAGTCGGGTCTTTTTTCTTCAGGTTTTAGATGATTCAGCAGATTTCCATTGATGGGTGAGTTCCAATTATCTAAATCCGGTTGGTTTATGCAGGAAAAAATCTAAAGCCTTCAGGAAATCAGCCCTCAAACTGCAACTTTGGACATGATCAGATGATCAGAAGGAACAAATCTAGATCTTATTAACCCATAAATGACAATTAAATTGGACAATTTCTTTGGATAGAAGGTTCCAATATTGTCTGTCCTACTGAAGCCAACATTTATAATTATTTATGTTTTGTTCCCAACATTGCTATAGTTATTTTATGACACTAGATTGAATCAAAGCATATTCTAACATGCATGAAGCAAAGTGCGGATCTAGAAATCTGTGCCAAGACTTGAGCGTTAGCCTTCAGTGGCACTTCAGTGTTTAATCTGACTCAGACTGAACAGTTCTGCATAAAGAAAAGACAAAAATTCAGTCTGTAGAGATGCCAACGGCTTGCAGCTGTATTTTAAGCAAAACTTTGTTCTAAAAAATCTGGAAGAAACAACTAAACTCTCAGTTTTGCTTTTTTTTTTTAGGCCTATAACGCGTCTACAGCTATGAGGACCGTAGCCTAAAACAAGCTGCATAAGGCACAGTTGGTCAGACGTAAGGCCTTACCTCGTCTGTGTCCGACTGCTTCTCCAGCAGGACCTGGGATTTGCTCATGCTCCACTCCTTTCTGTTCTTCCTAGAGATCCTGTTGTCTTCCTCAGAGCGGGACAGGACAGAAATCCTGCGTTCACCAGGACAAAATAACACAGACACATTAACAAACGACCCGAGGCACAGAGACGGCTAGAAAATGCATAATTAAAGTGACAAATGACGGCGTTTTATTGCAAGAAAAACAAAATATCCATGTCTGAATATATGTCATGGGGGACTAAAGTGAGGATGCAACGGCACTGACTCTTGGGAGGAGGGGCCATCCGAGGATGCAGAACCGCTGGAGAGGCCTGAGGAGGTGCTTGACAGGGTGGATGCGGTGGACATGCGGCGCAGGGTGGAGGAGAGGATGTAGGGTACGACAACGGAGCCCACGCGACTCTTCTTCTTTTCAGTCAGAGAGCAGGGCTGGGACACACAAATAGGATTAAACATCAGCGGGGTGCTGGGGAGGGGGGATCTTGGCAGAAAGATGCAGAGTGACAGAAGCAGCACAGGATGCAAAAGCCTGGCTAAAGGAAGATTTATGGTCCTGTGCTGATATAATGTACACTACCCTTTGAATGAAAGGCATTTGATAGGAAGGCAAGTGGGCCAATAGCTTAAGTTGGCACCCCGCTGCATAAAATCGAGTTAGCCGTTGGCAACGCACCAAGGTTATGACGCCATACAGCTTCTCCACTTTCTCCCGGAGATCTTGGAAGCAGGTAACTAAACGATTGTGTAAGGGCCTCAGCTGCTCCGTGGCCTTCTCCCCATGGATGCGGATCCCATCTTCCAGGAGAGGAATCTGGGTGGAGGAGAGGGAGGAATTAAGCAGAGCACCACACGTCTGCCAAAGGAAGAAAAAAAAAAGATGGTGGACAAGTTTACCTGCAGGGCGATGAGCTGTTTCAGGACTTCGATGCGATCGTGGTCTTCCGGATGCTCTTGGATGTAGGTGTCGGTAAAGAATGCCTGCGGAGGAAAAAGACTGGATGACGACAGGAGAAGCATATAAAACCCGCTTATTAACAACATGGCTGCAAGCAGCGGAAAAAAAGACCCCCGGCCTTATGAAGATAGGACTCTATCTCGTAACAGAAGCCAGAGATATCATGTAAAAGAGACGTAGACATCCGTTGTTGTCTACAGACTACATTATTGTGGCTTGGAGGCATTGGACACATTTATCTGCTTAATAACATCCTACATCTCAATCCTGAGGAAAAAGCTGTCAAGTTATATGTCTTTAATAAAGTTTATAATCCTAATACCTACTATGGCGTAAAAATAAGCTTCAATCTCCTCATGTGACCTCAGTTAAATTTATAGAGAGATCATATTTCTCCTACCTTAGCTTCTCTTCATCGGCTTCCTATAAAATTCAGAATAAAATCCTCCTTCTCACATATAAAGGCATAAATAACGAATCTCAGAACTTTGCTCTGAGCCCACATGTTTATTTGTGGTTCCTATAATTTCTAAAAGTAGAATGGGAGGCAGATCTTTTAGTTATCAGGCTCCTCTCCTGTGGAACCAACTACCAGTTTTAGTCCGTGAGGCAGACACCCTGTCTACTTTTAAGGCTAGGCTTAAAACTTTCCTTTTTGATAAAGCTTATAGTTAGAGGGGTTCAGGTTATCCAGAGCTATCTCTAATCTGTTAGTTATCTAACATTATGCTCTCTCTGCTTCTTCCCTTCATCTGGTCTGTTCCTGTTTAGCTGTGACTCCATCCTGGAGAGAAACATCAGCTGTGCCACTGCCATCAACACCTTTGTTTCTAGATGTTGGAGCTTGGCCTGTTTTTCAGTGTAGTCCTGTTTCTCTGACTGTGACTAACTGGATGTGCTCTCTTCATCCTCTGACATGGGAGCTGGCTCAGAGCTCGTCTGCCTGCACTGCAAAAACAATCCAGAAATAAGTAAAAAATGGCTTAAATTAAGTATATTTAGCCTTAATTTGAGTAGATAAATAAGATGATTTGCCAATGGAATGAGTATTTTTACTCTTAAAATAAGATAGTTAGATAATATTTACTTGAAATAAGAGGATAAAATAGTTTTTTCTTATTTTAAAAGGAAATTGTCTTGTTCCATTGGCAAAGTGTCTTACTTACCTCCTCAAATCAAGGAAAAACACACTTATTTTAAGAAAAAATAACTTATTGAGATTTCTATTTTTTGCAGTGTGGCTGTGTGTTTCCTAGACGGGGCCGTCTGTGGAGCTGGCTGACAGTTGCATTTTATATCTCTGCTTCTTTCTGTATGTCTGTTTACATCTCTCTGCACCCCTCTTGCCCTCAGCAGATGGTCGCTCCAAACTCTCCTTTTTGATAAAGCTTCTATTTAGAGTGGCTCAGGTTATCCTGAGGTATACCTATAACTATAGTCCCATTTACACTACCCTTTTGAAACCGTGCCGAGATCGGTCCGAGCACGGTTAGCGAGATAACTGTTGAGCGTAAATGGCACGCACAACCGAATCATGCTAAACTGGTACTAGTTCATCAGTAGGACTTGGCACGGTTCAGTTCTGGCTCGGTTCTCATATAACAAAGAGCGAATTAGCAGACTGCGTCATCTCCTTACAGCCATCCGCCGTAATCATGACATTTCAGACATTCATAAAAATACTAGCTTCCTTACTGTGCCACAAGATTTCCAGCCTTTCTGCTTAGCAGTGTGATGAACCTCAACATTTGTCTGTAAGATGTTGAGCTATCACGAACTATCACAATTACAACCATGCTTCCTGAATGATACAGGCGCCACCATGTTGGTTTACTTTTTTTACCTCTAGAGAGCAGCAGTACCATAGATCGCCACTAGAAAGCGAGGAACCGTGCTAGCATGACGTGTAAACGGTCGTAAGGAACTGAGCTCTGCACGGTTAACTGATCCAAGGTCGGTTATGCTGCAATAGGCTTAAAACCCATTTAAACTACCGTTTTGGAACTGTGCCGAGAACGGTCCAAACACAGTAACCGAGATAATTGTTTAGTGTAAATGGAACACAACCGAACCTCGCTAAATCTAGTACTAGTTCAACAGTAGGGCTCGGCGCAGTTCATCTGTGGCTCGATTCTCTGATAACAAAGCGCCTATGAGCAGACTGCATCATCTCCAATTTACATTCAGCTGACTCATTTTGCGGGTTTTCCGCCGTGTCCGGCTTTGCAATTCACAGATCTCTTCACCTGTTCACAACATGAACTTCCTCTCAGCCTATTGACATTAAATGGCATCAAAAGAGCGTGGTGCAGCCAGGGATGATGTCGATACTGAGGCCCTATATCCTCCTGAGTGTTATTATCGCTGCCATTTTTGAGTGTAATTCCCACCCTCAAAGCCGTAGTATCGTGGACCGCCGTTAAGAGGCGAGGACCCGTGCTAGCACGATATGTAAATGGTCGTAAGGAATCGAGCTCAGAACGGTTAACTGATCCAAGCTTGGTCCGAAGTCGGCAAGGATCGCTTTCAGAGGGGTAGCATAGATGGGGCATTTGTCTGTTGGAGGACATAGGGACTACTTTTCCTCATCCTACTTCATTCTCTATCTATTCGATCTCTATTCTCCAATTCTGTAGTATTTATTAGTTCAACCCATAACTTAATGTTCTCTCTGCTTTTTCTCATTAGCTTGATGTGGTCTTCTCAAACCCCCAGTAGAGTCAACAACACAATGCAAGCAATTGTCTGCTTTCACTACATGCTAATGAAGGAGAAGCAACTCCTGCAATGTCAATGATGGGATGCAATCAGCTGGTTTTCCATATACAGAACTTTTCACCAATCTGACTGGATGATGTAAATTAATTGTCCCTAAAGTTCCTTCAGATTACATGTTTAGAATTAGTGCAATAGAAATACACTAAATTACAGTTAGACAAACATCTCATCAGTGGCGGCTGGTGAAAAATATTTTTGGTGGGGCTGATATAGCCTAGTGTATGTCTCCAACTAATCCGGAATAAGAATTCAAATAAACAATTGGACAATACATACAATTTAACAGTAATGATTTAATTTACTATATAATAACAGTAACAGTGATGATTTTGGTCACTGTGACGGGGTTCTTTGGCCTCCAAGAATCCAGGCTCAGTCGGGTTACCGGTGTTGGTGATTTATTGTGCTCAAAAACTCAAAACAGGGTGCAAAAGAAACTAAACATGTACAAGATACTCTGGGCCTCAGCCTCCCTCCAGTTACCAGCAATGTAACAAAGAAACAGAAAACAAAAATTGCCGCTTTTCTTCCCACAGCCCTCATTAAATAGTTTAAGCCCCTCACCTCAGGCTCTCTTATTTCTGATTTCTTCTCATTAATCAGTTTTGTTCATATATTACCTCCACAAACAATTGATGTATAAAAAACAAATAATTTTTACAACTTAATTCTTTTACACAGATTCATTGACTTATTCAATTACACCAAACTGGGTTTGAACCCAGCAAAGACGCAGCCAGACTGAAGATGACAAGTCCCCGTAGCATAAACACGTACACCCCCCCCCACCCCCACCCACACACACACACACACACGGCTAACCCCACTGAAATATTAAGTGTGCACCCTCAGTACGCCAGCAGGTAACCAGGAACAGCTTGTGTGTTTTAAGTTAATGGAGCTACTGGTCTCAGCGCGAGTGTATTGGTCCTCACAAACACAGTATAACAGGAATGTGTGTGTGGCACGCAAAGTTTTACGCGACGAGGTGGATTCGTCACAGTCACAATAACCATGACATGAAATGTTCATATCCTACAACAGGGATGTTCTTCTGGCAAACGGGTAGATAAATAAGGATCTCACCGAATTTGGTGGAAGCTGCATCTCGCTCGTTACATTCGCCATCTTCCCTCTAATTGTCTGCACCTGCGCTTGGGTGCAGAAGCCTGTTAAAGCGCAGTATTTTCAGCGCCCCAAGACCATAAAGTTCGGAGACGCTGATTGGCCATTAAATTCACCTAGCAATAGTACATGATTGACAGATTCTCTGCAAATGTGGGGCTATCTGATCACAGCCCCCAGAACAGAGACGGTAGGAGTCTGTCTGTGGAAATCCACAAATTAATGACAGTAGATAGGGAAATGTAGTTTATATAATTTGTTTTGCTTATAGGTACACAGTCTAGAGAGTAAAACTGACATTTATGAGTTAATTTCTAAAAATATATTTTACGTTTCTCTCTTCTTATCAGGGAGGGCGGTGCCCCAGCGCCCCCTATGGGCCGGCCGCCACTGCATCTCATTGTTATTTACCTTCACACTTGCTTAATGTGCTAATTCTAAATTAAAGACTTTTAGAAAATGTTTCAACACCTCTTAATTTTGTTCCTCCCGAAATGACTGGAGCCTGGTTCACACACTTTTCTAACAAGAGTAGAAGTTATGTTTTAGATGTTTTATCTTTCTTTAAAATATCTTCTGCGTCTCCAAGTTGCTTTTAGGGCCATGCTGGTATAGAAATCATTTCATTATGAATAATGATTATCTGTTATCAGCTTTAGCCAGCATCTTCAGAAGGCCCGCTGCTTTTGTTTTCTTAGTCATTGTGCACATTTCATCCCATAACTCACGCTCATCTCTGGGACACAGAAGCCATCTCCTAACCTAACAGTATAATCTGGACATTCCCGTGAGGTTCCTGCCTGCATATGACTTTTAAACCGATGTGGCGTGTCCAGGCATCTGTAAAATGTACCCAAAGGCAAACAAGATCATGGAGGTCCAAAGTTCTCCTCCACATATCCTCATTAATTTTATCAACACTTTTCATGACATCATTTGTATTCCTTTGAAATGCAGCCCTCGTCTCCATCTTTTTTCACATTTGAAAATTAGAAAGCAACAAATGTTTATCTAAAAAAAAAAAGTTGGGATTTAGAAAACAAAAATCAATTTAAAAGTGCAGGAAAAGGTTTAATCTGATTCACCATCAGTGAGAAGAAAGTCACATATTTTCATACAG